TTCTTCTATCCCAGGCAGGCTGTGCATGACCTTAAACTCCTTATCCTTCTGCCTCCAACCTCCCAAATGCTGAATGAGCTACAAGCATGGAATCACCACACCCAGCTCTGTCAGTCCCTTTGCTTCCTCCTCTTCTTTGGGACAGTGTTCACCTGAGGTTCCATCTCCAAAATGTTTAACATGGTAGAAAAAGTAAAAATGAAAACTGCTACCAGTCCCAGCCATAACTCTGGCTTCAGCTCACTTAGCCATAAAGGGCAAACAACATACCTGACAGGCCTAATTCTTTTTGTTTTGTTTTTGTTTTCAAGACAGGGTTTCTCTGTGTAGCCTTGGCTGTCCTGGACTCCTTTTGTAGGCCAGGCTGGCCTCTAACTCAGAGATCGGCCTGCCTCTGCCTCCCCAAGTACTGGAATTACAGGCGTGACCAACCAGGCCTGGCTCTTCCTATTATTAGTGTTAAACCTAACTTAAATCAGAGAAGCCTTTACAAACTGTCATGCTACTCAAATCTTAGCTCAATAAATGATAGGTTTGGTCAAAGCTTAAAGGCAAAACAAACAAAAAAATCCAAAGTAGGCCAGGTCTTGATGAAGCACCCTTCAGCAACTCAATAAAGTCCAATAAGAAGTGTTTTCCTCCAACTATGAGGTACAACGAAGAACACACAGGCCAGGTCTAATACCACTGGTATCCCTAGTAGGTAACTGGCCATCTCCGGGCTTTCTTCCCTCTGTACAGGAAAGCTTTGACAAGCAAAGATCCTAACATCACATGGAGGGCGGATGCACGGGAGAGACCAGATGCCTTCACCTGCAGTGTCGTAAAGAGTACGCTAGAAGAGACGGTAAGGACTAAACCAGGAGGTAAAGAAATCGAGGTCTGGCTTTAGCGCACCTCTTACGAGCAGGGTGACCTTGGTTAACTCCCTTACTAAGGAAACCTCTTCTCTTGCCCCCTTTGTGAACCCCAGACAATCTCGGCGTGTCCGCCTGCCGGGATTGCCAAAAAGCCCAGACCCTACAGCGCGCGCCCTAGAAGCCTGTCGCCCAGTTGCAGACCCAGCTCTTCCCGATCTCTAGCAAGGAAAAGTCCTAAGCTCTTCCGCAGGCAAGCGATGCACCCCTTCCGGATGCAGGACCTGCCATGACAGCAGTTTCGATTTCCTAAGAAGAGGGGCACTTCCCTCGCCTTTCCAGCATCGCTGGCACAAGGAGCCTCCTCTATAGCCTTCCCGAGCCTCGCGGCTGTGCTCGACCCCGTCACCGGAGCCCGCTCCCGTTCTGAGCCCCCCGGGTCCCGGGAAGCCAGAGTGCTGAAGGGGCGTTGCCATAGGAACGGCGCAGAGGCCCCAGGCCCAGGGAGCCCCGAGACGCTAGACAGGAGGGCTCGAGAGACACGCGGTGCCCCGTGCGACCACACCCGGACAACCTCTCCCCGGCCTTCTGTTCTCAGCTAGTAGCGCCCCAGCAGCTACGCGCCTTCCCGTGCCGCTCCACAAATTCCCTACCTTCCGCCATGTCGGGTCCGGCCCTGCCTGCAGCCTCGCGAGAGGTGGCGGTGAAACAGTCACCAAGTCTCGCGAGAATTGAGTAGAGGCGTGGCAAAAGGAGGAGACCAAGACCACAAGAGTTGAATGAGAATGAAGCGGGAAAGGAACACCCGGTAGAGCAGAGGTTTTTTTCTCCTACTATGTATTTTGGAGGATTTGCCAAACGCAGACTGGGTCTCTTTTTCCAGGCGATCTTCAGGGCACAGCGTATGTGGACTACTCTGATGCAGAACCTGCTGATCTTTAAGTTAAATTGTATCCATGTGAGACGCTGTCAGAAAACTTGAATGATAGCATTTTGTCCAGGGCTTTGGGAATTTTATGGCCAGATCCAGACTACAACTCGGCTGTCAATCACCGCATGCACACTGGCTACTTAAGTGTAGGCTGCGAAAACCGCAAGGCTATATTAATTAAAGACCAACGTTGTGTAAGCAAAATGGTGAGACCCATGAGGTCAAAGTGGAAAAGCCAAATAAACCTGGGAGCTAATAAGGTCCAGGACAGGACCATGGAAGAAAAATGAGAAAGCAATAAGTAGATGTTGGAAAAAGGAAACACAGGAAAGGAAGGCAGATTTGTAAGCCTCTGTTGAAAGTGAGAATGAGTAGATGATTTGATAATAACAAAAAAAGGGTGTAATATACCTAGATAACAGTAGCCTTTTCAAAACTTTTTTTTTTTTTTCCCCTTCCCGGCTGTGTGTGGTGGGGTCGGAGACTGAGATAGTTTCTTTACATAACCCTGGCTGTCCTGGAACTATGTAGAACAGACTAGCCTTGAACCGACAGAGATCCGCCTGCCTCTGCCTGGGACTAAAGGCATGCGCCCCCACACCTGCTTTACATACTTTCCCTTGGCCTGTTTAACATGTATATTTAGCACACTTGAAGCCTCTGCTTCAACAAAAAGGTTTCTTATATTCAGGAGAAAAAAATAATAATAATGTAGCAACAGCTAAGAAAGTGGTGCCTTAGAGGGCAGCCAGGATTTTAGGAAGATCTACCACAATTATAGTGGGTAATGAAATGGAGCGATGAGGAATTTGGAGTTGATCATAAAAACGTTGGCCAAGGGCTAAAAATTTGAGGAGGAGGCAACCCTGGCTGAAAAACAGAAAATGGAAGAGGGAAGAGCACTGGAATACATTAAGAACAATTATGTGCTAAAAACTGATATGCCAATTGTAGCAGACTAGAGGAAAGAAAATATGGGCAGGGCAGAGTACTGCACTGGGCAAGCCGCATGTGGGTAAAGAACACATTAAGATGGGGGACACAGTATTTATTAGTTTCAGTAGAAGTGCCAGAGCTCAAAGTTTCTCTGTCTGATGAGAATGGCTCATAGGTGTTTCAAATGTTGAGCTTATGAAACCTACAGGTGGCTAGGTGGGGCAGCCCTGGGCATAAACATTCACTTGTTTGGAAAAAAGATACTCAAGCTCCTAACACTAAATTGACTTAAGTGGTTGAAAAGTGCTCTCATAGCTGATATGTTTTGCATCTTGTTCTCTTTACCTTACTTTGCAGCCCCAGTAAATTAACCTAAGTCTGTTTCTTTATTCTTGGGGAGGAGGGGGCAGTTCTCCTGTAGTCTAAGCTGGTCTCAAACTCCCACTTCCCAAGTGGCAGTGATATCAGAGGCACTGGTTCAGACTTGTTTCCTCTTGAGATACTATTGCCCTGGATGATCATTCTAAGAATTTGACATCCTTTTTGATGCAAGTAACAAAAGCTGCTATTAAAGAGGGGCTTGGTTAATAGAAACAGGGTTTCTAGTGATACTATGAACATTCAAGTGCCATGTTTTAAATAGGGTATGTGTGAAGGTGTAGCATGGGTTTGCAGAGGCCAAAGGTCAAGGTATCTTCATTTGCACTTTACCATACACATACACAAACACACACACATTTGTTAAGAGGATCTAGCTGTCCTGAACTCCTACTGTAGACCAGGGTGGACCCAAACTCAAGAGATCCACCTGCCTTTGCCTCCATAGTGCTGGGATTAAAGATGCACCCCAACACACCCAGCTTACTTTTATTTTTTGCTAAGTCACTGAAACTGGAGCTCCCATATTTGGCTGGACTGACGGACCAAGAAGTGCCTCCTACTCCATCTACCCAACACTGGAATTTTAGGCAAGCACTGCTGTGCTGGAGATCTGAACTCTGGTCCTCATACTTGCATTGTAAACACTTTACCAAATTGAACCATCTCTCCAGCCCTTTGTGTTTTTGTGGTGCTAGGGATTAAACCCAGGGCTTTAAACACTATGCAGGTCTTTGACACTAGGATAACACCCTCAGCCCTACAATTATTTCTAATAGATACTACTGCAGAAAGTCATTTTCCTTGCCTTAGGCTTTCTGTGCAGCGTGTATCTGGCTGTCAAAAGATGTCTGATCCACTTCATTTATTTGAACAGGATTCAAAAGTCAGTTATCATGTCACTAAAGATACCAATCAGCAAGCCAAAATAATCCTAACTTGGCAGCCAGACTGCACACCTGAAACCAACCAACCAGAAAGTAATTTTCTCTGCAAACTAAATTCTGGTGAGTCGAGTTCTGCAGGCTTCCGGAAAATGAAGTTTAAATTGCATAAGGTAGTTCCTCATTTTCTTGAAGGCAAGGGAAAAGAAAAACTCCTTGGAAGCCTAGTGCCTAGCACACAGAACTTAATGCCAGAGTCAACAACCTGTTCATTTGCATTTGAAACTGCATGCAAATAAACATTAAACATTATTTACCTACTGATGATTATGTATAAAATTGAGTTCAGGAGCAGTATCTAGTTCCTTCCATAACAATTTCATTCAAAACATATTTATCAGGGTTAGAATTTTTTTCTTGTATCTAATTTAGCTTTAAGGCTCCGTATTTTTTTCACTTAGTAAGGAAGAGGCCAAACAGCTACTGGGAACTTATGGATGAGCATCATACATCACATCAGTTACATTTCTACACTAAATCATATAAACTATCTGAGGACTCAAGACAAGAGGCCACATACTGTTATCTTTAAAAGAAAGCAAGTGTTCAGCCATGTCTCTTTAGCCACTAAGTCACACCCAGCAGGGATGGCAATTTGCTTAGAGCGTAGGTGGTTTCATCCAGTTCACGTTTAAGTCTAGGTTCCTCGTAGATTAGCAAATCCAGGCTAGTTTAAGCAAGACAGATCCCCAATAATGTTCTGCCAAATGCTCACTTTAAGCATCTGAGTCACCATTAACAGAAACTCTGATGAAATGTGGCCATGTATTGGAAATTTAAAGAGCATTTTGCCAGATTGAAGTCAAATTAACTGCTTTCAAATTCCTTTCTTAAATAAAGCTTGTGAATCCATCAAAGTTTCTGTGTGTATCATTTGGTGTTACATGCTGTTTATATACAAAGCATCCCACAACTTGCTTGAGACCTACAACCTAAAACCAAAATAGCTCATAATACAGCCTCTAAGTCATCATTTATTGATTTATAGAGCACCCATCACATGATTAAGGTGCTTTACAATACAGTAAACATCACAACAAAACTCACATAAATACAGTCAACAAATTACAGAACTAAAAAGAAAAACTGGAATGAAGCAACAGTATGTCAAACTTCAAAAATGTTGAGAAGCAGCAGTACAAAAAAGGGTAATTCACCAACTACAGACCAGACAAAGAAACACAGGCACCAAGACCCAAAGTAAGTAGTTTCGTAGAAAGTGAATGAGCATATAAATAAAATTTCACAACTGGGAACAAAGGCTATTAAATTATACTATGACACCCAGGTGATCACAGAATAGGAAAACCAAATGTTTGAGCATTACCTTCTAATGACAAGAAAATCAACCTCATATGGATTTAAACTCAAGAGGCCATAAAGCCACCAATATCACCCCATTACAAAAACAGACTAAAATGTGAAAGCCTCTACAAGAACCAGGAACAAATTAAGTAACAGCCAACAGTTCTATGTCTAAAAGGGTTCTGTGGGTGCAGCTGGTGGTTGGCATAGGTGGCAGGGGTTTGGGGTAGTGATGGGACATTTTCTAAAATAGCCTCACACTAATGATGAAACATTAGTGGGACAAAAGCCACTTGGTTTAGTGTCACCTGAGTGTGAGTTTTAAATCAAATGTAGAGGCATTTAAATCCACATTATCAGATGAACAGTAGGAAAGGCACAGCTGACACCTCTGACATAATTAAGTCCTAACAGGCTTCTGTTTCATGTGTAGAGCATGGTCAGGGAAAGAGCTTCTGGAGAAAGGCAATCACTCTTAGCTTTCCAGTAGTCCTTATCTAGCCCAAAGAACCAGTTATCCTAAAGTAAATACATTACATACTTGTAAGTTCAGAAATAGCTGTCCCTGAGTTGCTAGGTCATTCACCACTTGCTGAGCAGTCAAACCCTGGATTTTATTTCAACAGACTGTTACAGTTACAGCAGCAGGAGACCAAAAGTCTAACTGCACATTTGCCAAAGCCACCACTGTGGGGCCAATCCCTTGTGGGATGACAGTAGCTGCAGAGTAACACTTCTAGGCTTCCGTCGGGGCACGTGTCTGTTTCTTGAAGAGAATGAGGCTCCAACAAAATCAAAACAAGGTGTTCACAGCTTCTCCACGTCTGTGGGTTTCGATGTTAACAGGATTTCACAGTGCTTCAGAGAAAACCGTCGTTTAAAAATGTCACTGTTATAACTCCAGCTCCATTGATTTCCTCTCTGCTCTAAAAAGACCTCAGAGGTTGAAAGGTCTGACTTTGACAGGCATCCTTTCATTCCCTCCTCTGCCAAAAGACTTATCCAAACCCCATGGGCAGAGCCACACCTATTCTCACAATCAAACACCATCAAGTAACAGGCACTGTCTTTCACTCTAGCTCTTATATGCTAAACACTACTTCCCATTCTCAGCTAAAACCAGAAAAGGAACGGAGGCTGTCTTTAATACTGAATGTACTAACATTACCCATCACCAAAGTTGTTTTAGAAAGCTGTTAAGAAAACATACTTATGATCAAACAAAATTCAAATCTATGTCAGTGACAAAATCTGTATGTCAGTTAACAAAGGACTCACCCCTGTAATGCTTTCAGATTCAGATAAAGAACCTTAACAGAACCCAGTCTGTATACTGCCATGGCCAAAAGATTTTCAAGTATTAAAGTTGTTTGCATAAGAAATCAACCTGAGAATTTTCTAAACTTCACTTCTCTGGTACTCAGTACTACAACCTTCATTTAATACAATAAAAGCCAACAACTTGACAATTATTGGAAAAAAATTATATTTTGGAAGAACTCACTACATAAGGTGACAAAATTCCAAAATCAAATTACATGAAAATATACATCGCAATTTCTTTGTACAATAGGTGAGGAAAATCTGCAGTAATGAAGAAACAAAGAAATATGACAGAGTAAGGAGAAGGTAAGAGGACACCTAGCATGTTTAATAGCAGTCCCAGATGTAGAAAGCCTGTAGCTGCGCATGCTGTATTAATCCAACCTTAATATTGGGCAACATAAGGGAAAACCAAATCTGGATTTTTGTATTGTTGGGAATAAATTTCACTAAGTTGAACTTAGAACAGACTTTACATTTTTTTTTTTTTTCCTTTTTTCCTTTTAAAGTTCTCAGGAGATAATGACTAGGATCAAGAGCTCTCAACAGCCAGAAAATGTTATTGCTACATCCAATCCAAAAGACAGGTGAATCAGAGTACAAAAAGGACAAAGCACCTAGTGATGACCCCAACTCTGAAGTCATCATGAAAAAATCAAGTAATTTACTAGTATTTCAGTATTTTAACTAAATGATTTGAGAACTTTCTGGCAGAGGAGATAAAAGAAAAGGGGAGTATGTCAAAACAAAGAAAATACAAAAGATTAGTAAATGGAAAAAGTATAATGAAGACTCAATGGTTTAAAGGAAATTATATGGAAACTTTTAATCCTTATTGGTTTTCACCTGACATGCTTTAAGGAATCTTTTCGAACTGATAAGAAACAATGAATGGGTAAAGAAAACCTGCTAAAGTCTTTTAGAATTTACACGATTCTTATTCTACTACAAGAAAGCATTATTTGGTACAAGGTGTGTTTGTGGATGTACATGAATAGTATATATATTATCCGGATCATGTTGTGCTATGTACAGGTCTTTACAATTCTTCCTGAAGGTTAAAACAGTTCATTAGAATTCAAAATGCGTAATCATCTGTAAGTTGGCACTTGTTAGGCTCTTGTCAGCATTAATGACTGGCATGTTTTATTGCAGCCCAGTTCCAGCCAGAGTTTGCCAACTTGTTACAACAGAAGTCCAGCAATACGTGGGTAGAGTGCAGGAAAAACAGTGCTGTGTTTCTCAATTGGAGACCTACAACAGAACAAACAGCATCATGTAATAAATGTATAAACTACAATAAATAACTGGGTCGAACTATTATTTATATTCATGATTTCATCTGAAGTGCATTTTTGTGCTTGTTTATCATACAAGCACACACTAACCACACACACCTATATACTTTTACATTATTATAAAATTTTTTGAAAAATGAAGGGCTAAGAAGGTGACACCCACCTCTAATCTTAGCACTCAGGAAATTGAGACACCAAAACCATGAATTTGAGGCCAGCCAGAGCTACAGAGCAAGACCTTGTCTTAAAAAATTAAATCGTTGCAGGCTGGAGTAAGAGCTCAGGAGTTAAGAACACTTGTTACTGTTCCAGTGAATCTCACAACCATTTGTTTCAAAGAATCTGATACCTTCTGACACACATATAAACATGAAAGCAAAACACTCATATATACATAAAATATCTGAAGAAAATTTTAAGTAAGTCCTTAAATTAAATAAAATTTACAAGTCAATTTAGGTTCTTTGATCAGGCCAGCCTCATACGGCTAGTGGCAGGCACAATGAGTAATACAAATAATAATCAGCTGCATTTTACAGCAGTACTTTAGATTTTTCAATAATCCAAATGTCTTTCATTTATATCACACCCAGAAATCACAAACAGATTATTTAAAAACAAAGTGATGTGGAGGTTGGAGAGATGGTTCAGCATCTTGCCCCTGCAGACCACCTGAGGTAAGCTCCCAGCACCTAGGTTGAGTGGCTTAAAATTTCAGGTCCACAGGATGTGAAATCTGTGGGCTATGTGGGCACCTGCACTTGTACACACACACACACACACACACACACACACACACACACACACACACTAAAAGTAATAAAAATACAGTGACTTGAAAATTTGGAAATATTGAGGATGTGTAGAAAAACAATATAAGATTACTATATTTTCAACTTGTTTAATTTTATCCAACATTTTGCATTCAGTTCAAATCTATTTTTTCCATGGCACCTCCCACAAATGATGGCCTCAAATCAAACAGACTATAAATCAAGAATACATGTAAGGGCTGGAGAAATGACTCAGCAGTTGGAGCACCGAGTCCTCTTTAAAAAAAACAAAACAAACAAACAAACACCTGGGTTCAGTCCCTAGAACCCACATGGAGACTAACAACTAACTGTCTCACACTCCAGTTCCAGGGGTATCTGGTGTCTTCTTCTGGCCTCCACAGGCACTACACAAATATGGTGACAAAATACATAAAACAAAAACAAATGTCAAAAAAATTTAAGAAGCACATTTATTTAAAGCAAACAAACAAACAAACAAAAAAAAAAAAAAAAAACACCCTACCATCTTAGCAAATCTTTATGATGTGCCAGGTATTGTTAGGTGTTTCACAAATTTCAGTAAGTAAAAATCACATGAAGTTTCCCCCCTCTGTACAGAAAAGTAAGTTATTACACAGCTAACAATGAGGGTTTCTAGTCACACAAGGTTCAAGTTTCACGAGTAGACCCTTGCAGAGTCTTTACTCTAGCAATGTGGACTTTGAGAATATACACTGCAGAGACAGAACACAAAAACAACTTCTATTACCGCTCCATTTTTAGACCACATGTCTCAGCTGCTTTTCTATGTAAGATACTATGACCAAGT